ACCATAAAACCTAAATTGTGTGTCTCCTATGACCCTTTTTTAAACTCAATAAAAACCATCATTTGAGTGTTGGGAACTATTAGCACTGTAAGGAAAACAATTTACCGGTTAGATGATCCATCAGGGTCCCACGAGCGGCAGTCTCATAAATGACTTCTTTACGCGTCCCCCGTCCAGAGGCAATTACCTCGGGGCAGGATGACTTGAGGGACACATCTCTTGGTCTGTGGCTTCTCTGACCACAGATTCATGGAACAGTCGATAAGAAATTTCAGAAAGCTGACTTGTCTCACACAGATAAGAAGCTGTAAATGGAGTGGGGTCAGGAGGGCTAAATATTTCTATGGTGTTTCTGATTCCAGCTGTGACCCCAAAACTCCCCATTATCTCAAGACTTGGAACCATAGTGAAGGGTTCACATCTAAGACTCTGTCCAGCACTTGACAACAAAATGAAACACATCCCAGACTTGATTAGGTTTTAGCCACCATTGGACTCCTGCGTAGTGGTTTGTTCATGGCAATGTTTATTGGGTGCCTGTGAGAGCCAAGTTTTCTAGCTGCAGGTTGTGATTCAGTGAGTGGGTCATGAAGGCAGTTTGTAGGCTAGAACCAATAGCATATATCAGAATGTGTTTCATGGAGAAAGGGCCAGTATTCTTAGTCATCATCTGTATTTGGGTTGTGGCCATGGATGTGTATACTGGACATTGGGTGTAAATGATTTCTTATTATGGATCAGCACTGAAAAGTAGTCAGGTAGCCATCAGGGGTACCCAGTTGGGATGGCGCTTACTTCTGTGAGCACCCTGCATCAGGAGCTCACTGCCAGCTGCACACCATGCACTTGCACAGCTCTGAGAGTGCATGCCTCCAAGCTTACACCCTAGACCCTGACTGGATTCACCCTTATCCTGATTCTCATAGGGTCTGTGGAGCCCACAGATTGTGAATCTTGAGCCCCGGGCCATGTAAAGATGTTTATTAGGGTGGGGAGATAGCAGTGCTCCCCAAACCCCCAGTATCAGCAGAGGCTAGATCAGGATCCCTACTTGGCTCCTGAAGCTTCCTCCTTTCTGCTAATAATCTTTACATATCCCAGAACTGCTTAGTAAATTCCATATTCTCCATCCATCCTGGTCTGATGGGAATCTCCGGTAGGATAGTTGTTGTGCCAAAGAACCTGAGTGCACCTCCAGAAGAACTAAATTAAAAAGGCTGCCAAAGTGTGCTTTAAACTCATGGTGAAGTCAGGTCTCTTCACAGTCTAGGCAGATTGAAAATGGAATTTTTATGTAGAGTTTGTGATGAACGTGATGGCAAAGGTAAATTATATCTCTAAAATTTACATCCACGGGGTTTTAGGGATGTTCTATTAACCTTTAGAGTTAATGTGATAGGCACTTTAAAGCGTCTCTTTTGTTCTCTTATCTATTGTTTTACTACTACTGAACCATGAGGCCGTTGTCAGTATGTTCAGCAGGAACAATAATATAATAACTAACCTTTGCACGGCTGTGATACAGTAACCTTATGAAATGTTTGCTTTACTCAATATGGTACAAGCTTGTGCACATGGTGTGAGGCCTCAGCTATACTGCCCCTCATGCCATACAAGGAAGGACAGATACCAACTACTGCATGTTGGTTTGCGTCTTACAGGAAAAAGTGATCATTAATGTTGCTAATGTGCTGTCACTGGGTCAGTCCATCTCCTAGAGGGTCTTCTTCCGTTTCACTGACCTAATTTTCTAGGCATGATGTCTTTTTCCAAGGACTGAAACCTTGTGACAACAATGCTCAAAGTTTGTGGGACAAAGTTTCAACCCTCCTTAGCTCTAAGGAGAACCCTGATTATACGTTGTCTCAGCCAGAGTCCTTTGTTCTCTTGACAGTCCATGGAATATTCAGTACTCTGTCAGCACTGCAATTTGACGGCATCAGTTATCCTTTGGTCTTCCTTATTCATGATCCAAATTTTACTTGCATATGAAACAATTAAAAATCCCATGCCTCAGATCGGACGTACCCCTTGAACTGACCTCCCTGATCTTTAGCATTTTAAAGAGGTCCCTGACCGCAGATTTCCCCAATGCAACATGTCTTTTGATTCCACAAGTATTGATTGTGGATCCAGATAAAATGAATTCCATGCCTCTTCACTCCTTTCTTCTGTTGCCTATGTATGAGTCCAGTGGGGACAATTTTTGTTTTCTGACGTTCAGATCTAATCCACACTGAAGATGTAGTCTTTGATCTCCTTCAGCAAGCCCTTAAAGTCTTCTTCACATTCTGTGTTCAAGGTAGTGTCACCCATGTGCTGTAGGTTGTTGACAAATCTTCCTCCTATCCTGATGCCACGTTCTTCATCAGATAGTCCACCTTTTCAAAGGATTTGTGGAGAAAGGCTATAACCCTGATTCCTATCTTTCATAATTTTTAACCAAACAGGATCTTCTATTCAAATGACTACTTCTTGGTCTATGTATAGGTTTCACATGAGCAAAATTAAGTTCTGGAATTCCCATTCTTCTCACTTGAGGAGGTCAATATACTTATTCTTCAACTTCAGAGTCTAGTACCGTGATTGACATGGCCCATTTCATAAGATGATTTTGAAAGTCAAGGGAGCTTGTAGACAATTGTGAAATTGTGGAAGGAAACAATTTCTCTCGCTGCTCATCCCTTTGTAATGTCCCGATGCCCAGGCCTTTCCTTTCTGTTCCTTAACCTCATGTACAGACTGTGCCAGTGTTGGGTGCTAGCAAGTCAACTGTGAGATCCAGTAACATTACACATCAAGCTAAAACTACCCAGTAGGGCTTTCTAGTTTTAAATGTTTGTAGGAATAGATTGCTAGGGTTGTTTTGGTTGGGTTTTTTTTTGTTGGTTGGTTGGTTGGTTGGTTATATTATATTGGCTTGCTTACAGAGTTCATATGCATTTTGTTTCACACTATTCTTCATTCACATTGTTTTTCATACAATCATTCCCATTCATTATGTTTTAGAAAATGAATCACTGGATTATTCCCACCATAATAAATAGGTGATCACCAGGTTTTTGTTTTGTGGTTTTTTCCTTCTCCTACAGAGTAGCTGGTTGTTTTGAACCTTCAACCTTTTGATGAGTAGCTGAACATGTAACCATTGTGCCACCAGGAACCTTTGCCTTTACTTGTCCATTTGGGCATTTTATCAGGAGTGTCTCTCACTTCTGTCCACTTAGCGTATGCCCTATCCACACCACTTCTCTCTCCACCCAGTGAGATCCACCCTCCACTTGATCCACCCTTTCTCAGGCTTAGGGGGGAGATGTCAAAATCCTAGAGTAAAAAATTAAATTCCAACTGTTTCTACTAAAGCCATGATGGAAAAGTTACCCTTCATTTACCAGATTGTGGCTTTTGCTGAGTTGAGAGCCAGCTATTTCCCAGCCCCCCTCCTCCACCTTCTAAGCCTGATGTGTATTTAAGGTTTTCACTAGGTCAGTTGGTGCATGTGTTTTTATCACGTGGAGGGTCCCCATCGGACATCTCTGCTCAGTGCCAACTCATACAGCCCTCATGTTATGAATTAAAAATGTGACCAAGGATAGTTAGTAATAGTGTGTATGTGAAACGTAGTAATAAGAATAAAGCAATTTGCATACCACTTGGTGCACAGATAACAAGTCCTCAGTAAAAGTTGTCAGGGAGTAGCAGAAACTGTTCATCATTAAGTAAGTAAAGTCTATCTAGTTGATAGTTCATTCGCAATCTAACGGCTCACTCACCCACTCACTCACTGCTGTTGAATTGGAATCAGCTCATAGCTGACCTGCCAGTGGGGTTTCTAGGGCTGAAAAAGTCCTCAAAGTGACTGGTGGCTTTGAACCATCAGAGAGGCATGGCCTCTTGGTCAGCAGCACAGCTGTCTGTGGGCTATGCTATTCCAGTTCCTTGGCCTATTGGTTAGTTTCTTGAAATTGACACTGTAGGATCCTGGACCCCGGTCTACGTCATAATCGTATAGGTTGTTAATGGCCAAGTGCTGTCTCTAGCTAAGATTGATTGTTAGCTGAGGGGCCCTGGTGAAATAGTGGGTTGTGTTGCTAACCCGAAGGCCACACATCTGGTAGTTCAAATCCACCAGCAGCTCTGAGGGGAAAAGATGGCATTTTCCTTCCTTACTAATTTTCATAGGTCACTGTGGCCTAGTGGTAAGAATCTGTGCTGCAATCCTGAAGGCATGAGGTTCAAACCCGCTAGCTGCCCTGCAGGAGAAGGATGGGCAGTCTCCTCCTGTGCAATTAACTGCCTCTGAAAACCCGCTGGAGGGTCAACTGTGGGTCAGTTCTGACTCAATGACACACAACAACCACCTCAGAAACCCAGTGGAAGGTCACTGGACCCGGAACCAACTTGACGACAGTGAACTCGGGTGCCAAAGTTGGTTGGTTGTGTCTAAGATACTTATCTTACACACATGAACCAACTGCCGAGAGAGGAACGGCTTCCAGGAATGTCCAAGTTCACTTGATCACAGACGGAGCTCAGGGCCACCACTTAGGGAACTTATTCTGGAAGTTAGCCCCCTCCCCTTTTCCAGCACAACCTTAGGACACGACTCAACAAACAGAAATCACCCCGGTGTGTTTGCAGATGGAGTCTGGACAGCCATCCCTCCCTGTACTATTTGTTGACCGGAGCAGACACTTGGTACACGTTTGTGGACTACTGGACACAGCATATTTCTTTCCAATGTGATCCAGTTAATCCCAGTTTCCACAAGCAATTTCGTGGGACTAAGTTTTTGGTTTTGGTGTTTTGTTTTGTTTTTTATGAGGCCACGGTCACCCTCCATCTCAGCGTATGCCCTACACAAAGACGTTAGGTCCTTCATGTAATTCAGGAGTGGGATAAAGGAGTTGGAGGTGGCCATTATGTTAGCACGTTTTTCTGCATCCACTCGATGGCTTGTCTTCCGAAAGGCGGTGGTAAGAGATTTTCCTGTCTTACAGGGAAGTCTCGGAAAGCTGGCCTCCTGCCTGCCAAGTCGTCCACCGAGCCCAGCCTGCAGTCTTTCAGTAGGAACCAGCTGGGTAACTACCCAACACTACCCCTAACCAAGTTGGTGGATGCGCTGAAGGAGGGCGAGAAGGAAAGCCTGCTGGCCAGGGGGCTCGCCCCTCGAGACGCCTCCAGCTGTGACCAGCCGAGAGTGACTGGTGTGACAAAAAACAGGAGAAGTCTCCCCGTTTCCATGTGCCGGAGCTGCGAAGCCCTGGAGGACCCCCAGCCGGTGGCAGCCTGGCCCCGGTCCCACTCCCTGGATGACCTTCAAGGAGGGCCGGATGCTGGAAAGGATGGGCTTGGTGGGCCTGCTGGCCCGTCCCCTCGGGTTTTACCAGAAGTGCCACAGAAGACCCCCGCCGCCACACTCCAGGCGCTGCTGTTGACCCAAAGCAAGAGATGTTCTGATCCCCAGAAAATGACCGCTAAGAGACTGGATGATCCAGGGGCTGTCTTGTCACCTCCTCCGTGTTTGCCCAAAACCTGTGGCATGAAACCCAGCTTAACGAGGACACCTGTGGAGGGTCACAGAAAAGGACATGATTTTGAAGGAACAAATCACCCCCCAAGCACCAAAGAAAAAGCAGGTGCTGAGCAGAAGGTTCCCGAGGCGAGAACGCAGCCGAAAAATCCTTCCCAGCCCCCACCCGTGCCTGCCAAAAAGAGCCGGGGGCGCCTGGCCAACGGCCTCCTCCTCGTACCCACGGGCCCCGGGACCACCGCGTCCAATCAGGACGCACCTTGTCTGCCCATCAAAAGGGGCAGCCCTGCCAGCCCCACTGACACTGACTGCCACCCAGCCCAGGCTGCCAGGACCACCCCAGGGGATGAGTCTGGCAGCCCTGTGAGCACCAGGCCCCCGCCCTGGCTCTCAGAACTCCCAGAGAGCAAGAGTATCCCTGAGCATGGTGCCCGGGCCAGCCTGGTGCTCACCAGGAAGGTGTCCTGCAGCCGCGGGGTCAGCCTGGAGATGCTGACTGAAAACAAACTGCAGGCAGAGGGCATCGACCTCACTGAGGAGCCCTACTCGGATAAGGTAACTGGGACTGGTCCCCAGCCCCATTGGCCTTGGCTTCTGCAAGCTGGGTGGCCAGGCACCATGCCACCCCCGCTGCTCTGAGGCCTGTGCTGATAACAGGAGCACAGACTTCAAGTCAAATGCACAGACAGCTTTGGAGCTTGCTTTTGCATCTTTGTTTTTCATCTTGGGCAGCTATGCTTGGCTGGGAAGGGAGCTGGTGGCCACAGGGTAAGGATTTGAGCTATGAATCCAAAGGCATGTGATTCGAATCTCCCAGCTGCTATACTGGAGGAAGAGGGGGCACTCGTGGGGTTTACAGCCTCGAAAACCTGCTAGAGGGTCAACCATGAGTTGGTTCCAACTTTATGGCACCTAACAGCAATGGCAGCATACTTTGCTGTGTGGTGCAAAACAATTAATCACACAACCAGTAACCAACAGATCAGTGATTCATACCTACCCAGAGGCACCTCAGAAGAAAGTCCTGGTGATCTGTCCCCAAAAGATCCCAGCTATGAAACTTCTATGTTGTGGTTCTGTCCCGTGACATATGGGGTCCCCATGAGTTGGAATCAACTTCAGTGCAACTGGGCAGCTGGTTTGGTTTTTTTGGTTTCATGCTTTGCAGCATCGACTGTCGGTGCTGATGGGAAGATTTGGGGCACAGGAGAGACCTGAGTTCAAGGGTTCTTTAAGGGTTTATGAGATACGAGGATTTTTTTTTCTTCAGGTAGTTACTTCTCCCAACTTCACTGATCATTTGTAGGATGGAGATAGTAACACCTGGGTTAATGACCTCAAGCACCAAAAATCCAAACCCAGCACCATCAAGTCTATCTCTTCCCTTAGCCACCCCGTAGGGCAGACTAGATCTGCCTCCTGGAGTCTCCAAGGCTTTACAGAAAGCACAGTGCCTCATTGTTATCTTTTGGGAGACTGGTGGCATCGAACCACTGAGCTCTAGGTTAGCAGGTGAGAACTTATCCACTGCACCACCAGAGCTCCTGTGTATCTATCTGCCCAAGAGGGGTTTTATTAGGAGCAAATAAAACATGAACATACATTAAAGATTGTGCAACAGGATTCAGGTGTGGTAATTCCCTTGTACAAGTAACTGTTTGAATCAAAGGGCAAAAGGAACATTTTCTAAAACACCTCTTTGGTGCCCAAAACATGTCGATTTATTATTAAGAATCATTTTTTATTTGGGGGGAGAAATGTCTATCTATCAGTATCAAAATAATTTTGAAAAGGATGTGTAATAATGGCTGGGGCTTGCTTTGCTCTTGGAAATAAATGGCTTGCTAGAGTACATGGTTGGATACATGAACCTGCTAACCAGGAATGCCTTTCCCTAAGCCCGCCGCTTCTCTCTCTCCCCCTCGATGTTTTCTGTGTGGTGAGCTGGGTAGAATTCTACTCTGAACGCTGACCTGAGCAAGGCATGGCAGCTTTTAATAAACTAAAAAAGTCAATCCAGCAGCTGTCCCGTCCACTTGAGTTCTTGGCAGCTGCGTTTGTTTAAAACAGAACTGTGTTCCAGAGGGTTCTCAAATCTGTGTGTGACCTTTGCAGGGCAGATCACCGCTGGGTGGGTCCAAACTACCAACCTTTGGATTCGCAGTTGAACTCTTAACCGTATGCACCCCGTAGAGACTCTTGCACTTGAATAGATGATGGAGCCTAAACCAGAGACTGTTTGTCAGGGTGAATTGTGTCCTTGTTTCTGCTGCTTTAGTGAACTGCCTTCACTAGCCTCAGAGGAACAAGGCCAGGCAGAGTGAACACTGGTCCAGAAGATCTAGGATAATCCTGTTCTTCCTTATGTTTCAAGACATTGTCCTGGTGCTAATTAGTATGTAAAAGATAAAGGTGCAAAAGTATTTCCTCTCCAACTTCTGTATGGATAATATAGTGTTACTTTCAAACAAGGCCTTCCAGGGCCGCCTTCCAGCTAGGAAGCACCCTTCCCTGCCTCTGCTGGGTGTCTGGTGGAGGGGCTGGACGCTCCTGCCCCTCCTGATACCCCGTTTCTGCTCTGCCCTCCAGCATGGCCGCTGTGGGATCCCGGAAGCCCTGGTGCAGAGATACGCCGAGGACTTGGAGCAGCCGGAGAGGGACGTGGCAACCCACATGGACCAGATCCGTGTGAAGCTGCTTCGGAAGCAGCACCGCATGGCGGTGAGAGCCCACCCAGAGGGTTACCTCCCCACCCACTCTCTCCCCGGCACATCTCCCTGCGGGCCTTTACGGACTCAGGTGCTGACGACTGCTGACCAGCTCAGGGCCCGTCACAGTGCTCAGCAGGAGATAACAAGGCCCTGGGGAATGGACGCTCAACCTAGAAATGTGCTTCCCCTTTGATTTATTCCGTTGATGTTGAGAATAAACACACACCATTCCAAACAGTTCCTACGTGTCCAATTCAGCGGCATTGATGACATTCTTTCTAATCTGCCACTGTTCTCATCCTCTGTAAGCATTCATTCACTGCCCATTAAAGTTCATACCTAATCTTACCACTTCCTGTTGTCAGTTCAATTCTGTACAGGTAGTTCTTAAAATGGCATAATGCGGGAGCTCTGGTGGCCTAGTGGCAATAAGCTGCACTGCAGTCCCAGAGGTACATGGTTCGAATCCACCCGATGCTGTGCTGGAGAAGGAGGGGCAGTCTCCTCCTGTACCAATCAGTTCCCACACACACACACACAAAACAACACAAACACCAAAAAAAACCCCACCAACCCCCCCCGCAAAAAAAACAAACAAAAAAAGGCATAATGCTCCAGGTAGACCTATTTCTGTACTCAAACTACGTACTCTCTAGTCTGAACCAGCTCATAGCTGACCCTCCAATGGGTTTTCTTAGGCTGAAGATCACACGAAGGGACATTGTTCATTCTCTGTTGAGCTGCTGGGGGGTTGAACTGCCAGAGATGCACAATCTCCCAGTGGTCCGGGCCACCAAAGCTCCCCAGAGTAATTGATTCCGTTTTTTAGAAAGAAAACACACACACACACACACACACACACACACACACACACACACTCTTAATCCTAGCACAGCTGAAACCTTTTTTTGTGCATCTTTGTCATTTCTCTCTGCATACATATGCAATAGTGTTTTGCTTTAAAAACAAAATTTGCTTGTTTTTACCTCTAAGATCACAAATGTGTTCTCCTGTATTAAGCTCTTTTACAGTGTTAACATTCTGCAATGTGGAGGATTTAGATAGTTTGCATCTTTTTATAGTGGTTATTGTTGAGTGCTGTCTAGTTAGAACCAACTCTCAGCTGACTGCCCAGTGGGCAGTTGATCCCACTGGAGATTGCTGGTATTTCTTGCACAGAGCAGCTGGTGGAATCGAACCACAGGCCTTTAGGTTGTCTGTGAAACTCCTTATCATTAAGCCACCAAAGTGTAATCAGGACATTGAAGAACTCCCTTGTTAGTAAATCTTGGTAAAATATTTATAGTTAAATTCCAAGGGAGATTTTGCATGATTGAAGGAATACAAAATTTTGAGGATTTTTGTACTTGGGAGCAAATTATCCTTCTGAGAGAAATCACCCTATTTCTGGTTGGTGGTGGTGATGGTTGCCAGCAAGTCAGTTCCTGCTCCTGGTGACCCCAGGCCCAGCAGAATGAAGCCTTGCCTGGCCCTGCTCTATCTCCATGATCACTGGCGTGTCTGAGTCCCTGCTATAGCCACTGTGTATACTTTCCAGCCTAAGGGGGGTTCAACTTCGAGCACTACACTAGACAATCATTTTGCGAGCCGTATGTTTTCATTGGCTGAGTTTCAGAAGTAGACGGATACCCAAGTCTCTCTCTTGGGTCTGCCTTAGTCTGGAAGCTTTGCTGAAACCTATCCACCAGGGGGGAATCTGTTGATATTTGACGTATCTGGGGCATGGCCTCCAGAATCACAGCAACGCACAAGCTACCACAATATGATAAACCAATGAATGCTGACAAATTTTGCTGTTGTGGGCACTGTCTAGGTGACCAACTCATGGCCACCCTGCGTATAACACGTCAAAACCTTACCTGATCCTGTCCCATCCCCACAACCTCCATTGTGTTTACTCCCATTGCTGCCGTCACCATCCAACCCATCTCGTTGAGGGTCTTCCTCTCTTCTGCTGACCTTCCACCTGTCCAAGCGCGATGTCCTTGCCAAACACCAGCCCCTCCTAACAACATGCCCAAAGTATGTGAGGTGAAATATCCCTGACTTGTCAGTATTTACTTTCTTTATATTAAACATCCATAGCTATTTTGAAAACCCACAATGAGTTGATTACATCTCGACAACACCACCAATATAGACAAAGTGGAGTTTTTTTCTATCATTGTGCATTCAAGATATGGTACAAATGTACTTCATAAAAATGATAGCAGTTTAATACGCCACCGTCGATACCACTGCACAAGTTTGCCTCTTCAAGTCACCTTCGAGGTCTCTCACTGTTGGTAACAGCACAGTGAGGTAAATGCTTAGAGCCTGGAGATTTGAACACACGGCTGGCTTTTGATCTAGTTCCTTGTACCTCCTAGAATCCACGACGACCCAAGCATTTGAGAGTAGAACTGCTCCAGAGGGTTTCCAATGATGAATTTTTTTGCAGGAAAGGGCTCTTCTCCTGCGGCGTTTCTAGGTGGACTTGATTTTGTTAGCACCAAACGCCATTAACCATTTGGATTCCCCAGAGGCTCCTACACAGCCTTCAAGAGTTGTGTTCTCTCTGGGAAGTCAAGAAAGAACTCTTCATCCTAGTCTGTGGCCCCCCACCTGCTCTCACATTCATGTAGCAATCTAACAAGGAAAGATGGTGGGACCACTCCTCTTAGGGGTGACGGAAGTGACAAGTGTGGACTCTTGGTAACACCGTCTTCTTTCTTTGCACAGATCCCAAGTGGTGGCCTCACAGAGATCTGTAGAAAGCCCCTGTCTCCCGGATGCGTGGCATCCGTGTCTGACTGGCTGGTGTCCATCGGCCTGCCCATGTACAGCAGTGCCCTCACAGAAGCGGGGTGCAGCTCGCTCAGCCAAGTGCCTACTCTGTCCCACACTTGCCTTCAGGAGGCCGGCATCACAGAGGAGAGACACATCAGCAAACTCATGTCCGCAGCCAGACTCTTCAAACTGCCGCCGGGGCCCGAGGCCATGTAGCCAGGCCGTATTGGGAGGGGGCCCCCCTTGCACCAGAGCCAGCCTCGCACTGTGCTTCTGACGTGGTTCCTCCTCCCCAGGACGTGCAGACCAGAACCAGAAGGCGGGCCCATTGCAGGACCTTGGCATAGGCCAGAGGAGATGCGTGGGGTTCGCCTTGACCCTCCAAAGATGAGACAAGTACTGCTTTTTATTTTCCGAAACATAAAAAGAACCGAGATGCCAACTTGCCACAGAGGCTGTGCCTCCAGTCTGTGAGCTGGGAGAGGACGGGCAGAGCGGGAGTGGCAGCCTGTCCCTGCTCCTGTCCTTGGCCTGTCACCCTGCAGGATGCCCGAGGGCCAGCCAGGCTGGAGCTAGGCCAAAGGAACTGACTCGGAACTTAGTGTACACAAGAGTATCTGGCTGCATCAGAAAAAAAAGAAATATTGTCCTTTAGCTAAACAAGAGACCTGTTAATAATTGCTTTCTAGCAACCAGCTTTTCTTTGCCTTAACATGAGCTTTGAGCAGTTATTTAACTAGTGTTCATGACTCCGTAACCATAACCAGAATTCCCAAACCTTCAGCTTAGATTGCTGCCTAATATACCTGGGGTGTTTTCAGCAAAAATGAGCTTTTCTAATGGTTTCGTTCTGACATGGCTTATTTTTTAGGGGTGTCTCCCAGACACCAATTTCATGTGGGGTTTGGGTTTTTTTTGTTTGTTTTTTAGGTTTTGTTTCCCGGTTTTTAAAACTAACTGCAAATCTAGTAAGAAGCTCTCTGAAGTTCACGAAGATAACTCGTACGTGTGCGTGTACGTGTGTGTGGTAACTACCCTTCACTTTGATCGGTTTATTTTCGTTACCCTATCGGTCATCGTGCCACCGTTTTTGACTTGGAACCTGGACTGTATCCATTCCAAACTCCAGTCACCAGCGTCTCTAAAGCTAATAGCCTGTGCAAAAAGTCATTGTAAGCTTGAGTGTTCTGGAAAGATGTTTCTTGAAAGGGAAATAGATTGGAAGGTGTTTTCTAAGTTGTTTTTTAAACGCTATAATTAAGCTGTTGTTATATTTCCTTTCTTCCGTAGGTCACTCTTTTCCTTACAACAAAGCTTCATCATGAAGCCATACAAACCACACCAGCCATGTAGTAAAGAATTGCATATTTCCAGTTGCTTCTCATATGGTTTCAGCCTATTTCTTCCTCTTTGAGTCTGGTGTCTGGTTTTTCTAAAAAACAGCAAATTTAGACAACAGTTACAGTTTTCCTTTCTGATGGGATGGTTTTTCCTTTTTGTTCTCATGAGCTCTGCTCTAAGCCCCCAGATGTGGTCAATCACAGTAGAAATGCGTTGGACACAAAGCCTTGAATGAAAGTTGTATAATATTTCATCTACTCATCAAAACGATTTCCCTCAGGAAAAAAAAAAGAGAGAAGTGATTCCATTTATTACAAAGCCATCCTTAATATTTGCTTTATATACCTGGATCCATGTTTTCTGAGGAAAAGGATGTACTCAGGTGATGTATTATTATTATATTGTTTTCTCTCCACGCTTTGAAGTGAGTTTTAAAAAGAATGTTTCTTCGCGAATGCTTACTTTCTGAGAGATATGGTGTGAACACGTGGTGAATGTGTAGAATAGTTAAAGCTGCCAGTCTTACACTGAGCTCTTAACCCCAGCTTCCTGTGGCGTGGTCACGCAGGGCTGCCAGGGCCTCGTGTGGACGCATCCCTAGTCATCACGTGTGGATGCCTTCCCTCAGTGTGGTTTGAATGATGGCGTGCAGGTGGACAAGAACAGACCCATCATACCTCCACAGCCTGTCAGCACCATGTGAAGAAGCCACAAAGGAAAAGGAGAAATCTGACGTGTGTTTCCAAGTTTCAGTTCACGCTCGGTGCAGGGTGTTCTTAACATCATAGTAGCAGCAGGAAAAGGAGCTTTCTGGATTTGAGCATCTTGGAAAGCCAGCCCCTTCTTTGGAAAGAAAGCATTGCTTTTGCAAAGAATATCCAATTCAGGGACCATGAAGATAAGGGTCCAGTGGTGAGGTCTTCCTGATGTGAGAAGCCTATAGTTTTTATTTTCTTGCTTTGTTTTGTTTAGTTTCTAAATCTTTGATAGCATTAGCATTTGTTTGACCTTCTTTTGCTTTAAACTTTCCCATGGATCCTAGAAAAGCCTGAATGTGTGCGTGTTGACAGTTGACTAGGTGGCTCGGGGACACCGGTGGGTATCGGTAGTCAGATGGTGGCACCAGCAATAGCCGGTTCCAGTCAGCGGCATTTGATACAGCATTCTGCATCCCGGTGAAAATGGTTCGGTTGGAGAAAGCACAAAAGAAACCTGGAAAGGTATTTTGGCTCAGGTATTTACACAGCCATTGTGTATGATTCCCCCCGCCCCCTCTTCTAAATTTGTCTGGAAGGAAAAACAGCCAGCCAGCCCCCATAGCTAGTTTCATGCCCAGGAAACCAAGGAGCAGGTATCTTTCCATAGTCATGCCTCATGCCCTGGCCCTTCGTCCTACCTGGACCAGGTGTCGGTGTAGTTGAAAGTACCTGTCCACTGGCAGTGGATTTCTCAGACAGCAGAGTCTGCCTTCCTGACTCCAGCCACAGGGGTTGGTGAGTTTGCCAGGTCACCACCACATGGGTGTACTGTATTCTTTTCAGAAGAAGAAAAAAAAATTCTTGTATTCTGAGTCGAAGTTGTCTAGATTTTAAATTGATAGAGAAGAGAAAAAAAAAGAAAACCACCAAGAAACTGTCAAGCAAGTTATATAACAACTAACAGCATTGCACTTTCTGTATATGAAATCAATATTTAAATAACTTATTTTTCTCCATTGCTGTTCTTAAACATTGTAAGTAGCTGTAATATACCAGTACCAATATGTTCTTGCAATTGCTTCAGCCCAAGAAAGCTGTGTATTGTTTTAAAAATTGTAAAAAAAAAGTGAAACAAAGCAAAAAACCTTTAAAAAATGATTGTGATGATTCATTTAGCAAAATAAGAGGTGGACAGAGGGTTTGCCCATGTGTGAAAACTTGTGTATAATTATGTCATCTCTGTATCTGGAGGGGACAAAGTAAATAAATAACTTCGATTGAATGTGTGTTGTCTTGTAATTCCTTGGCTATGCCAAAGATGAATGAAGTAGAAATGGAATTTGTAGGTGGAAATTTGAGAAAAAGCATTTGCAAAGTATGGCTGATGGGCAAAATATATGACTAAATTAGTAATTATGTGCAATTATTTCTTCTATATCACCTAAGCACACTGAGAGAGAGAGAGTGTGTGTCAGTCTATTTTGTATAGATTTGCTACATGGAATGCTTTTTCCCAGAAATTCTGCATAACCAATTCCTTTATCTCCTCCTCCAGATCTTTTCTCAGAGTTCATTCTCCAGGTCGCCTGCCTTGATGACAGCATCTGAAATTGCACCTTCCCCTGCCACCATGCTCTCAGTGCCTAACATCCTAACAGTAATTGACTTCTTTACTAAAAGTGCTGCCAACTCAAAGGCAAGTGATTCCACCCACCAGCTGCTCTTTGGGAGACAGGTGTGCAGTCTCCTCCTGTACAATTTACTGCTTCTGAAAACCCTCTGGAGGGTCATCTATGGGTCTGTTCCTACTCAACGGTACACAATATAACATGCCGATTATTGTTATCTACCTCCTGCTAAAATTCAAAGACCATGAATGCAGCAGTTTGATCCTCATGTACCCAGGTTTCTGTACCCAACAAACAGCCTCAATTATCTGTGGAAGAAATGACCACCATTGAGTCCTACTTGCTAAAATTGAGATCATCTCTTTTAATCCACTCATTTTCTAGAAACAGACCACAGAGGGCGAAGGAAGAACAGAGGCCATACACAGAGGATAGTAATGGAGGACTGATAGTGGAGCAGGTCTTCTGTGACAGCAAAGACTTAACTCCTACCTGTGCTCCATCTCCTCCCCACAGAACAACCTAGCACGGCTTTCAGACCTTAATAGAGGGAGTAGCTGTTGCAGCATGTGACCACTAGAGGACACTGATTCACCAGGTTGAAAATCCAAAGACAAGCCTGCTACTTTCCTGTTTGTTCTGACGCAAGAGAACCCTTCCTTGGATTTTGAAGGCTGTACATCTTTACGGAGGCAAATCAACTGATGCAGACTGACTTCCCTTTCTCCTGGAGAGCAACTGAGTGGTTCAAATAGCCCAATGACACCGGCATCATATCACCAAGGCTCCTGAGATGCTTGAAGGGAGAGTCTGAATTTGTGGAGTTTGAGATGTGAGAGAGGGTTCCCCAACTAGGAATGAAGACATGTGCAAATAATCACAGCTTTGACCTGAAATCTGATGGCAGGAGGCAGCCCTCGGTCTTCATGGCTCCCAAGTTCCCAGGCCAGGCCTCCTTGGGCGCCACAGAATGGGTGCATGCTCACTGAGACCCCAAGGGGCAGAATACAACTGTCCCATAGGATTTTCTCAGCTGTCAACATTACAGAAGGAACCTTGCTGGCAGAACGGTTAGATGTTCAGCTGCTAACTGAAAAGCTGATGGTTCAACCCCACCCAACAACTCCCAAAGAAAAAGACCTGCTCATGAAAAGACTATGGCCCAGGACATCCTACGGTCAGCTCTCTGTCTCATGGGGGTCCCTGTGAATCGGAATGGATTTGGCAACACACAACAGAGCAGATCCAGGTCATTGTCCCACAGAGCTATTGATCCAGGGTCCCTGTAACGAAACCACCTAATGAAATAGGAGGTGAAACAATCTGTTAAAAACAAAGTGAGTGAGGGATAGTGAAAAGTGGTGGTGAGATGATGGGGAAGTTAGGACCCTCCTGCTGGTGTGTATGCCGAATGGTGCAGCCACTGTGGAGAACAGCTGGTCGGCTCCTCAAAGAGCTAAGCTTCGAACGAGCATCAGTCAAAAGCATGGCGGGTGGGGTGAACACCAACACATGCCTCCAGCTCATTCTCAGAGGCTGTGAATTAAAT